TCTGGGACCTGATTGTTGGAATAAGGCCAGCGCATGCCTCTCTTCCTTCTCCTCCTTTCTGGATCCATTTGCTCCTGATGTTCTTTCGCCTCCTTCACTTTCCGTGCCTGAGGGTAGCTGGAAAGGGAAGTGAAACTCACACTGGGATTCTGTGACCTGTGGGCTTCTAAGGTTTGCTTAGAAGTCTCAGGCGAAAGTTTGCTTAGAAATCTCAGGTGAAAGTTGAGCCTTCCGTTAGGAGGAAACTTGACTTCAATTTTCAATTTCTCATCTCCCTTCCTTTGAACCTGATACCTCCCAAAACATAGGCGAGCGACACCTATGGATCGTTGGGGACTGACACCTGTGTATCAGTGGCTGCCAGGGACAACTCAGCTCTGGTGGCATCCTTCTGATTTTGCTAACCTGGTTGGCAGAGCTCCCACTGGGCATGTGTGCTGTGCTGGCAGGAGTATCAGATGGACAGTCGGGAGCTGAGCTTGCAAGTTTGGACTCTGCCAGTCACTCCCAGGCTGCCTTGCTATGGGACACATTCCCAGAGACAAGGTGTGCATGACAGTTCCTGGAGTCGTGCAGCCAGTGTGCCCTCACAAGCACGCTGTGACACTAATGCCTGCTGTCTCACAGTGGGTGTGTCCAATCCACATGAAGCCCTGGATAGCTAGTAATGCAGCCCCATGAGATCAAAAACATATAACATTAGTATATGATTTGTAGCATATCTTTCATGTCTCAATTGCACAGTGCTGGATTGTGGCATGCATGGGTGACAATGGGACACTCTGTTGGAGAGGGTGCAGGGCACTGCTGGAACTGAGGCTGGAGGCTGGAGAGAGTACCTCCCTTGGAGAGGCTGTCAGAGAAGTCTCTGTGGCCCAGGTGTGGTGGCAGGGCATGATGCTGGCTGGGTCTGGCAGTGACCTCTAGAGTCCTCAGTCCTGTGCATCTGGGCAGACCTGGTGGGGTGTGCCGGCTGAAAAGCTCTTTGTATCCCAGTTTTCTCATTTGGAAAGTAGAGACTGTTGCCAACCTCATAGAAGGGTAAGTGAACCAAGGCAAAGTAAAGCCCCCAACCTACTGTCTGAGTCACAGTAAGTACTCAGAAAACCTGAGTCCACCCTCCATTCCCCTTCCTTCATGAGCACCCTCAGACCTTCTGGTGCCTAGGTGTGAGGCCTTGCTTGTCCCCATGTTCACCCAGACTGGGTACAAGCCTCACACCTTGGTCCTTTATTTGATTTTCGCAAGACCACTGTAAATTCATCAGGTATCGTAGAATAATGTGTTATGATAATTATCGATTTGGGACAAGAACATGTCTTTTTGTTGTTGTTGTTGTTGTTAGGGGAAATGTGTTACAGTAGAAAGGCTATTGAATTAAAAAGCAAAAGGCTTGAAGACTTGGCCTATTAATGGTAACAGCACCAGCAATGACTATTTGTGCCAGGCACGTGCTAAGTATTTTATGTAGATGATGCCAGAGAACCCCACAACAGCCCAAATGACACAGGACTTGGTACTAGCTTCATGACAGGCAGTTGAGGCTTACAGAGGGTAGTTGCTAGCTTCAGGCCACCTAGCCAGTGTGTCTTAACCATGACACACTGAAGAACCCCCGAGTGCCAAGTGCTTTGTATTACATCTTATGGGATTTCCGTGCCAACCCATTTCACAAATGAAGAAGCTGAGGCTTTCAGAGTCAGTAATTGTCAGCAGGGATCCAGCCCTTATTTGACTCTAGAGGCTGTGACTATCTGCCCCACTGCCCCACTGCCCCACTGTTTGACAGCCTGGCTTCTGGCCCTAACTGGAGGGGTAGCCAGAGGCAAGTAACTTGAAAGAGCATCATAGTCCAAGAAAACAGAGATGGTTGGGAAGACTGTCATGGAAAGGTACGAAATCTGAAAAGGTTTAATAAATAGAGCTGTACTGGGAACAACTGGGAGGAACTTGGAATGCAGGGTGCATTCAGAGCCAACCTTGGGAATGTCCAGGGTCAACTTTTAGGTGGCACCAGCTGCCTAGTACTGATGCCTGTGGATGCCTCACAGGGTTACACAGGGCTAGGCACCTACCTTGCTTAACTATCTGGGCCATGTAATCCTGATCAGAATTTGTGCTAAAATGAATCTGGCCATGAACTTGCACCAATCTTTGCCACCTTTTATACTCTGTGACCCCTCCGGTCATCAACACTAAAGCCCCACCATCCTGGATGGATTCTCAGAGCCTCCTCGCTTGGCTGCCTGGGGCTTGGCCAGCACTCTGTGGCCATCTGCTCAGGCTGCAAAGCTCTTTGTTGCTTTTGGCATGTTTAATAGCTTAATTTCTATTTTTCTGTTGGGAAATGCTATTCACTGGATTGAGACAGCAGTGGGTGCTCAAATGGTTTCTGATTGCTATCTTGAATGTTAATATCCTAATACATTTTATTGTCAATGACCTGTCCTCCCTGCCATGAGCTCTCTTACTTCTCTTTTTCAAAGATAGGCTCACAGTCTGCCTTCCACAGGCCTCGCTTTCCAGCTCATTCCTTTGCTCCTCCCTCCCTGCTTTTCACAGATAGCATTGTACTGTGCCAACAAAGCCCACAGTCCTGGGAAATCTTTGACTTGGAGGATATGAGAAAGTGTTTCGTTTTGCCGGAGGGGCTAGCAGGGATGATCTAATCTCTGAAAGGCACACATTATTTAAATTCCGTGCTCTGGGGCAAGCAGGCCCTGATATTTTTGAGCTTTGGCAGGGAGGGGATTCTGGTTTGGCTCTCTTCAGTAGGGCTGATGGTTGGTTTTCCTGTTTGTAATTCAGGGCAGGGGCTAGGTTATACTTGCGGCAGGGTCATTACTAGTGGTGAGAGTTTGGGGGAACATATTCTTTCCTAGTAAACTTAAAATCACGGCCTCTTAGGACACAAGGGGTGAGAAAGATCATCTTGAGGAATTGCCAGTTTGTCATTTGGTTCCCATCTGGACCCCAGACTCAGGTGACAGTTCCTGTGCAGGGACTGGGGGGGCACTGCTGATGTACTCACTGTGCTCCCGTGCTTTCTGTACCAGTGGCCTCACCTATGAAGCGTGGAAGACCTCTTCAGATGAAAACAAAAATTTGAGGGAAACCATAAGCACTCTCAACCATTAAAGGTGAAGTGTGGCAGTGCGGTGGGACTCCTGTGTGACTTTGGGCACATAGATTGTATGTGGGGTGAGGTGGCAGTGGGGAGGGTGCTGGACAACATCAGTTCAAGTTGAATTTCTTTGCCTTGTGGGCACTCGTATATAACATTCGTGGTATAGCCACCTGGACCTCCCCTTGCCCTCCATCAAACATTGTAAAGTGTAGATCATGTGCCCTGGAGATGCAGTCTTGGAGGGGTGGAGTGGCCCACAATAGGTTCTGGAGGTCCTGAACAGAGAGTCTTTTTCTATCTGCACAAATGTATCCTGGGGATTTCCTAACCCAAAGACAGTGAGCTAAGGACACAAATATGGTTATCATGCCTCCTATCTAGCAGGGAAGATGAACAGTGTGGTACAGTTTAGTTTAAGCCATGATGAGGACATCCCCGATGTGCAGTGAGAACACAGTTACAGGGATAGTAAATCTGACTGGGCCTATCTGGAAAGGCTTCGGAGAGGAGGTGATAATTGACCTTGACCTTGAATGGGGAGGAGGTGTCCACCACATTGCCTCTTGTCTAAGTGTTATTTGCTAAATGTTTGCCTGCTCTTTGCTGGGGACAATACAACAAAACAAGGGAGGAGAGCAGTGGTTCCTGCCATCAAGAAATGCACAGCTTGCTGGAGAGAGAGCCCAGTGCTTAGAAGACAGTTAAAACTCTGTGTGGACAGATGATGGAGGTGGGAGAGGCTAATAGGGAGACTCGGTAATCCGGGGTTTCCAAAGTTGCTACTCTGTCTTATGGAGAACATGGTTTCTGCAAGGTTCAAACCTATCAAAGATATCCGAACTTTGAGAGGCTCAGTCCTCTGGTGTTTTCTCCTACTGTGCAATTTCATCAGGGTGGTTCTGTGTAGCAGAATACTTGGATGGGTTGGGAGCAAGTTGGGTGGGGTGGAGAAGGCTGGTGGCACCCAGTGAACATTGTTGACTCCCTCTGTACAATCCTGGTAGAATTTAGGATTTGCAAACACGAGCAGCCAACATGCAACCTGAACATAACATGGGTGTCCCCAGTCATGCATGAGTGCCATGCACTTTGTGAGCCTTTGCTTTCGTTGCTCCCACATGGAATGCCTTCCCTTTCTTGCCCATGATGACTTTCCTGAATGCTTTTCTGTACCTCAAGCTCCTGGGATATGGTACCAGTTGCTTTCTGTATTAAGATGAGTTCGGCACTGTTCTCTGCCTTTTAAATCCCTGATGAGATTGCAAATGCCACGAGAGCAGGAAGGGTAGCTTGCACTTCTTCTATTTCCCCTGGGAGCAGGTTGTATAGAATAGAGAATGTGAATTTGTCGAGTCTTAGCACTGAATCTCAGCATTGCCAACTACTTTGGAACTTGGAGCATAGTCTCCTTACCTATAAAATGGGATAACACAGGACCTTTTAACCTTTACACTACTGATACGTTTGGCTGGATGATTCTTTGTTGGGGGGAACGTAGGATGCGTAGCACTTCCCTGGCCTTTACCCCTTCGTTGCTACTCACAGCCCTGGCCTGCCAGTCACGACAATCTAAAACGTCTTCATATGATTGCCAAGAATCCCCTGAGGAGCAGAACCACTCTCAGTTGAGAACCACTGGGATGGCACTACCTTTTTGCATAAGCCTCAGACCTCCTGCTACTTCCTCTGGGACACCGTAGACATTCAGTCAGTGTTAATTCTTCTTCAGTCCTCATTCACCTGCAGCTTGACACATTGTGGACCATTGAGACACTGTGTGGAGCTGTGACTGGGTTTTAACATTCTGGGGTGGATCTCTCGGGTTATCCACACAATGCACTAACAGAATCCCTTGTCATTTTCTCAATTGCAGATTGATCTGGAACCAGAAGGAAGAGTTTATGTGATCATCGATCTCTCAGGGTCGTCAGGTGAAGGTAGGAGAGCATGACCTCTCATTCTTGTCTTCTTCTGTCGACCCTTTGTCTTCTGGGTCTGTCCTTTCCCTTCTTGGCTGGAGCATATCACAGTGACATTTAATTAATTGGCATACTTTAAAGGAGAAGGTTATTTTGAAGATTCTGTGCCTGTGTACCAAAAGAGATCAGCCATCTGTTAACTGGTGGAACAGAGGGAAGATTTTTGACTTATCAAGCTAGGCCAATAAAGCAGGCGTTTCTGCACACTGTGTGCAGGGCAGGCTTTGGTGAAGTGGCAGCTTCTCCCAGGAGGTTGTGTGGGGCTCATGTGTACACAGTGAGGAGGAAGTAAAACCAGTTGGTGTAACAGTATTCAGGAATGAAAAAATTGAAGTGTCAAACTTTAGAATCTTACTTCTTTAGAGAGCTTATAGATTGTTTTACCAGTTCTTTACACAGTAAACACCCTGCCCTTAGAGAGAAATAATGGGGTGAAGGAATCTCTGCTCCCCACTGGCTGGCTTGATGGCATGTGGATTTTGTATGATAGTTGGATTTTCCTTCTCTCTTCTTTTTCACACTCTTTACCTTTGATATTTTCCCCCCTTTGCTTAATTAGTACCTTTTCAGGGTTTATGTTGGGTGGTAAGGACTGAGCAATCAGCACAAGATAAGGCTGGAAAATAAAACTGTCAAGACAGAAGCAAGGAGGTCATGGCAGAGAAGTTTGTGAACTATCTTTCTCCTCCTCCTCTTTCTGTGGGCAGGGGGACACGTTATTGGTTTTAATGAGACGGCACAAAGATTGGGCAATCAGAGCTCATTCTTGGCAGTGAGACAAAATGTGATTTGGGGTTTGGGTCCCAAGAGGTAAAGATGGGCACTTAGCTCCTTAAGCTCTCCTGTCTGAAAAATTTGGGCCGTTTCCACAACACCTGCCCAGAATACTGTGAATCACAAGAACAAAGCCCCAACCCCACACGTGGTCTCTAGGCAAAGGTTCAGTGATGGGAAGAAAGTTTGAAAGCAAAATGAAAGGAGCTAGTTGAATGATACAGTACTTGATAATGGTGCCTGATGACTTTCATTTGGCTAATTCATTGCCCAATCTCTGAACAACAGGTGTTCAGAATAATAGAATAATTGTGCACATATGGGGATCATACTAGGATTTAGCACTCTTTTAATAGATACCAATGATTCAGGATAGGTTTGAAGCTTTAAATATCCTTTCAAAATCGGTTGCTTACGTTTTCTGCTCTTTATTGCAATTACATTTTGGCATTTCTAAATTCCTTCCTCTGTTCTCAGTGCTGCTCAGCCCAGGATAGATCTGAGGATTTAGCAATATTTAGTATGAAGTATTTAACACCTACAAGGGGGTTTAAAGGAAAGTGAAATATGCACCAGTGCCCTACTACTCAGATTAAGCACCCTGGCCAGGTGTAGAGGAACATGCCTATAGTCAGTCCTAGTTACTCAGAAGTCTGAGTCAGGATGATTCCTGGAGGCCAGGAATTGGAGGCCAGATTGGGCAATAGAGCAAGAACCTGTCCTCGCACACAACAAAACAAACAAAAAACAGCCAGTAATGTAAAGTCTTATAATCGCTTTTAACATTTTTAATATGTATGTGTTCCACATTCACCAGGCTTAAGATTTTACAGTGGTCTTTGATTGTAAACAGTGGTTAAACATTCAATAGGCAAATTTCAGTTTCTTTTTTTCTTTCATAATCTTAATTAAGCACACACTTCCTGTGACAAGATGCTGGACAACCTGTGGCAGGCTTGGGTTATTTTATTTTTCTTCAGAAAGATTAATGACTTGTAGAGTTATAGAAGGCATTTTTTTTTTACATTAGAGGGAAAGGAGATGGACAGTGAATGAATGAATAAATAAATCAGAAGCAATTGATTTTTTTCTTCTTGCTTCTATGGTTTATTGCATGCGAATAGCCAAAGCAATTTTCTTTGGGTTAAATTCTTGGTCTTCTTTTTTTTAATCTCTTTCATCTAAAGAAAATAGAGTTTACTTTAGAAATGCTGACACATGCCAGATTCTGTAAAGTGCTAGCATGTGTTACTCTGAAGAAAAAAAGACATGTTTCCATTCTTTTTTTCTTTGCTGTTCCTGGACTTACAATCTTTTTTGTGGGTGGTGAATAGGCTTTCAGTAGTCCCTTCCTCAAAGTTGATCTCGTTGTTTTCTGCTTATGTTGAACCCATCTGTCTGTAGTCCTTTGCCAGGACCGTGAGGGCTCCAGGCCCAGAGGTGGTATTGGTTCAGGAAGAGCTGAAAGAAAGAGGAGAGGACCTAGAAAACGAAATACCACTTTGGTTACCTGGACTTCATGAGGACAGTCTGGGGTGAACTGTGGTTGTCAGGGCTGCCTGCTATATATACAGACTGGAAATTCACAGATCCTTGCTAAAGTTCCTTTCTTGAGTGCGGATGCCTAAACTGTGTTTTGTGAAAGGGTGAGAAGAGAGTTGAAATGAGGCATAGCTGGTTTTCACCACTCTGTTATTTTGCCATCAGGCATCCCTGCAGCTCCCCTGTCCCCTCCAATGCTGCCCCATCAATGGAGAAAATATATTCAGAGCAATGGCACAAGCTTTACAACACATGCAAATCCCAAAGATTTCAGAGAAAGGTGTGGGGGTGGGATGGTGTGAACACATACCCTTCTTCTAGGATGTGCCAAAGAATTCTTTCTGTTGTGAACATGCTGTTAGAAAGCCTGGGTGTCTATATCCTCTACAGCTGGGTGTAATGTGATTTCTAACCGTCTAATAAAATTCCACTGCTTGCATATCCTGTGCAGTTCACCATAATGGGATTTGACCAGTATGTGCTTTAGCTAAACCAGATCACCCGACCCCAGATGTAAAGGGTTGGCTGGGTGAAGAGTTAGGGTCATTTCTGTTTTAATCCTTTGGTGTAATTTGTTGTTGTGGTTTTTTTGTTTTGTTTTGTTTTGTTTTGTTTTGAGACAGGGCCTCAGTATGTAGTTGAGACTGATCTGAAACTCACTATGTAGCCCAGGCTGGTCTCGAATTCACAGTGATCCTCCTGCCTCAGCCGCCCGCTCCCAAGTGCTGGGATTATAGGTGTGCGCCACCACCCGGCCTTTGGTATAATTTGAATAGACGTCTCTTGGATCACACTTGAAGGCTGGCTGGTATCTTTGGCAGGTAGAAGTTGAAGAAACAGGTTATTTTTGGAAAGGTGCATTCCTAGACACTTTGCTTATGTTATCCCAAGTAGCAAACCTACTCACAGAGTGCTCGTGTGTGCCCAGTCCCAGGTGCCCCTTAGTGTTTTGTTTTCATCTGAGATAGCAGTCATATGGCTGCCTAATAAGCAAGGTGCTATGGGCTAGCACATACTTAAAGCATAATTAGCCCAGATAACAGAAGCATAAATAGCAGTGTAATTCTCAGATGGGCAGATGCTTCTTTCTTGCAGTGTGCCTTGTTTAGTATTCCTTAATTATAACATAATTTGTATATGGTTTCTTACTTTTTTATAATTATATGGCAATGCACCATTATCTGTAGGCCTCCGGGTAAAAACATATCAGAGTTGACCTTGGACTTCTAGGTCCTTCTTCCCCTGGCTTCCATCGAGGTATAGGTCTTAGAGAATTCTTTAGCGTCTAAACTGACAATGGAAGTAGCAAGAAGTAAGTAGGCCTCATTGCAGTGTTTGGTTCACCAAGTTGTTTTTGCAATAACATACAGAAGCTGTAAAACAATTTGAAAGCTTTTTGCAACACACACATCAGAGATGATGCAGTTAAACCAAGGTCTAGAGGGACTGCACTGCGGAAGCAAAAGATAAGAAGCAGGGAACAGCATCCCCTTCTGCAACCACATGCTGCCGAGTGTTCTGGGAAGGAGCATGGCCTTAGGAGTCCCTTCAGACTTGGATGTAAGTCTTGGTTGTCATTTTTACTAGTTTGGAGCTTTACGTTTCTTACTCATAATAGCTCCTGTGGTAGGTGCCACGGGGAGATTGCTATAAGAGTAGTGGTACAGTGCCCTTGCACATATAAGATATTCAGTAAATGTCCAAAGGCCTTGGAGGTCTCGGGGCAGACAGGTGGGCAGAGTTGTATGCATCCCCTCGTTGGCAGCAGGCAGGGGGTTCAGGGAAACTGAGGACAGGTTTCTGACTCTGGGCATGCACACCAGGGCCAAGCACAGGTGAAGGAAAGAGAGAATAAAGAATGCTATGTCTGGCAGCAGCTCTGAGATTGCTTTCAGACCTCGTATGGTGCTGGCCCATTGTCTTATCTCTTCCTGTCCTTTCCCCAAGTGAAGTAATTACCAGAAGAACATTCTGGAGCGCCCCTAGCCCCTGGTATATGTCCGGTGGTCTTTAATGTCAGAAACCTCTTTCTTGTGGGAGCCTGACTTGTCCCATCCCTCCACAGTGCAGACTGAGAATATTTAGTCCCCTGCTCGCACCAGCCCCTTGGTGAGAGCCCTTCATCTATTTGAAGACAGTTGTTAAATCTCTCTTCTTCAGGCTGAATCCATGAAATCCCTTAACCTTTCTGAAAGGATATTTTAGACATCTTAGCTCATCTTCACAGCTCTCTTCTGGACTGTTTTCAAATTGCACAGGGAGACAGATGTGATCACGCCAGCTTTGCTTAGTTCTGGGAAAATAACACATGTAGAAATTTTAGCTTTACCAAGTCCTCGATGCTGTCATCTTTACATGGAGATGGGAAGTGGGAAAAGCAGGTGATGTGCCTCAGAGCTACAGGGTGATTGGGAGGAAGTCACACCATGGAGATGACCTCCCCACTATTCTTTTTTTGTGTTCGTTTCTTAAGAAAACTTTTTATAAAAATACAAAACTAGAGTTCTTAGTTTTTAACCCAAAAGTGACCTAGGAGTCCCTTTCATAATATGCAGATCACTTTTCCACTCTTCCTTGGTCCCAGTTCAGGAATGGCTGGATCTTTCTCAGGCTCTCTGTAATGTGGGCCCATAATTAATTCC